CAATGACAGAATCAAAGCCATTGGGACAGCAGTGACAGAAGAACTCATGGCTATGTTGACAGAGGAAGACAGCCCTACCCCAGGTCCCTCAACTGCTTCTGCTCATGCTATGACAGCAGAACCTGTAGCAGGTGATGACACCAGTGAACCAGCAAAAAAGAGAAAAAAGTCTTTTGGTAGTTATTTCAAGAAACCACAGGAATTCAGAGGTGAGTTTCTTTTTGCGATTGAAAAGGAGATCCAGAGCTACGTAATGATACCTGAGGTGGACAGTGACGTAAATCCACTTGACTGGTGGAAAATGCAAGAAATAAATTTCCCCAGACTTGGGAAACTAGCAAAAAAGTACCTGTGCATCCCTGCCTCAAGCAGCCCTTCTGAGAGGGCTTTCAGCACAGGAGGAAATGTTGTTACATGTCACCGTGCTGCTCTCAAGCCAGATGCTGTGGACAGGCTGGTGTTTTTATCGCACAACTTGAAACACATGTGAATTCAAAGAAACCCAGAAAGGGAAAAAAGAAATCTGCTGAAAGCTTGTTTCCTCTGTCACTTTTATATTGTAAAGGCTACTTTAAATTATAAAGGCTATTTTACCTCATAGTCTTTGAAATGTAGACTTTGTTTACAGTAGTGTCATTTGTTTACATTATTTTAAGTGCAATATTTTGTTGTGCAGCTTGAAACACATGTAAATCCAAAGAAACCCAGTTTATAGCAAAAAAAAGTTCAAGCTGCTGAAATAATTTTTCCTTTGTCCTAGTGACTACTTTAAATTATTAAGGTTATTTTACCTTTTGTCTTTAAATTGTAGACTTTTTTTTTTACAGTAATAACATTTGTTTACATACAGTGGGTACGGAAAGTATTCAGACCCCCTTAAATTTTTCACTCTTTGTTATATTGCAGCCATTTGCTAAAATCATTTAAGTTAATTTTTTTTCCTCATTAATGTAGTGCTGTGTGTACATTAATGAGGGAAAAAAATTAACTTAAATGATTTTAGCAAATGGCTGCAATATAACAAAGAGTGAAAAATTTAAGGGGGTCTGAATACTTTCCGTACCCACTGTATGCTATTTTTTTCCCGAGTGCAATATTTTTGACAAATCTGAAGTGTTTCAAACCTGTTTAATTTTTGTGCAATATTGGACAGAATTTGAAGTTATTCATTTAATTAAAAATACTATAGGCTGTTTTTTGTATCTTTGACTATGGAAAATTTTACTGTACTTGAAGGGAGTAATTTGTTTACAAAGTTTTTCTTGTGCTGATTTTGACAGAAGATACATTTATTTAGATACATTTATTACAATGTTATATTTTTGCTTCTTGCTTGTACTGCACAGTTCACCTTACAGCAGAGCAGTGATGTGTGTTGTTCTTACTTGAATGCTTCAGTTTTAAATAATAAATAAATACCCTTTCCTTCAATATATTTTTTCAATTAATAATATCCCTCAATGTACTATTGACTTTGTAAAAGGGAGCAAAGACATTTACAACACATTTTTGAACTATGCAAAATATCGTCTGATTATCGTTATCGGAAAAATCCCAAAACATATTGAGATATTATTTTTTGTCAATATCGCACACCCCTAAACAGAAGACATAGTAACAGCTGTGTTTCACATTGTTGTCGCATGACCACATCACATCGCTAGTGAGTGGTATGTAGTTATCATCTTGGAAATAATCCGTTTTTTTTTTTGCAGTGTTAATTCAATTTTGTGTAAAAATAATGAAAAATAAAGATAAATATAAATATCAGGCCATTAAATATGCTGGTAGGTGTAGCAGTGATGGTGTAGAAGATAATCACCCTCTTTAAAATCACATTTTGTTGCTTTGCTGCTTGAAATGAAGACGTCACACAGTTTTTGTTTTATCCAGCTGTATTTACTCAGTGCAACTTATAACATCCAAGTGAAAGATAAAACACCAACATGTCAGAAAATAAAACCAGAAAACAGAATCACTG